ACCCCGATCCCCAGGAAGTGATCAAAGGGTTTTCCATTTCGAACGAGTCTTTCACCCTTGCCTGGGATGCGTTGGTCGAACGCTATGACAAGCCGCGCAGATTGGCGTCGTCAATCATCGACAAGTTGATAAACGCTCCTGTTGCTAGTTCGGAGAATCATGCTGCTCTGCAGAAGTTCCTGTCAGTTTTTGATGAAAATATTGCGATCTTGGAATCGCTTCAGATTCCGGATTTATCGTCGTTCTTGTTGTTCTCGTTGGCTGCTCGGTGCTTACCTACATTTTCTAGACGCCAGTTCGAGTCTGAAAATAACGAAGAGTATCCATCGATCCAGAGTGTGATCAAGTTTGTCAAGGCAAGGATCCAGGTTATTGAGAACGCTGGTGTACAGCCGTCGGGAAGTTCGTCCAAACCGGCCAGTAACAAGAAAGCTGTTTTCCGGCGAGATGCTAAGACAACTTTAGTAGCTACTAATTCTTCAGCAGCTGCCAAACCTACATCGTCCAGAATGATCCAAGCAAAGTCAGTTTCCGCGAAGTGCTTCATGTGTTCTGGTGCTCACCAGTTAGCCGATTGTTCAAAATTCAAGGCCTTGTCTGTCGATGAGCGATATAAAATCGTATGCACTCATCGTCTCTGCATGGTCTGCTTTGGTGAAGGTCATATGTCTTTCAAGTGTTCGACGTCATGTGCCACATGTAAGCGCCGTCATCATGCATTGCTACATCGCGATTCGGATTCGAAGACGGTCGGTCCACCAGCTGCCATGCTTGGTCGGCTACAATCCCCAACGGTGCTACTAGGGACAGCTCTGGTCCAAGTGCAGGACACAGTGGGGAGTTGCCGCACTATACGTGCACTAGTCGATTCGGCTTCGCAGATAAGCGCGATAACATCAAGTTGCTGTGAGCGCTTGGGGCTCAAACCATCGCGTTGGACAGTTCCCGTCACAGGACTGTCTGGTCAAAGGGTACCGGATGTACACGGCGTCGTTCAACTGAAGATCCAGCCGCGAGATCGCCCTACGCCGTCAATAAGTGTCAAACCTTGGGTGCTGTCTTCAATCACTACCGACATGCCAGCTCGGCAATTACCCGCTCAGGTCCGGGCTAGATGTAGCCACTTGACTCTGGCAGATCCGAGTTTCGACAAACCTGCTCCAGTCGATATGCTCATCGGCGCCGACATCTTTCCACAAGTCTGGAATGATAAGAGCAGTTCGTTAGGCCCAGGATTCCCATCGGTGTACAGCTCGGTCTTCGGTTGGGTCCTGATTGGTCCGGTACAAGAACATCCAGACATTGGAGCTCAGTCAATGTTGGTGTCCTTGGCGTCCTCGATGGAAGCTCTCATGGAAAGATTCTGGTTGGTAGAAGAACCGGACGCGGCTCCGCAGCAATTCACGGAAGATGGTCTGTGTGAAGAGTTGTTCCACTCGGAAGTCAGCAGGGATTCGCAGGGTCGATTTTCTGTGCCACTTCCTTTTCGCTCAGGCCAACCAGTGAAGTCCTTTCCGGGTTCTCGGCAGGTAGCCCTCAATCGGTTTCTGCAGCTAGAGCGGAGGTTGGCAGCAGATAGCATCTTATATGCAGCTTACCGCAAGTTCATGTCCGAGTATGAGGAACTCGGTCATATGACCCGGGCCGAAGGTGCCGGACAGTATTATATCCCGCATCATGCGGTCCAGAAGGTTGAAGGGGATGATGTCAAGCTTCGAGTAGTGTTCGATGCTTCAGCGAAGTGTCACTCGGGAATGTCCCTCAACCAGTGTCTGCTGGTAGGCCCAAAACTGCAACAAGACATTGTTGATGTTCTGGTTGGGTTCAGGGTGCATAAGGTGGCATTCACAACGGACATCTGTAAGATGTATAGACAGATTGAGGTGCTGCCGCAATACCGAGGATATCAGTACATCCTATGGCGTGAATCACCTCAAGTCTCTGTAAGAGAGTATGCCCTGAACACTGTAACGTACGGGGTAAATAGTGCTCCCTATTTAGCCCTGAGGGTTCTCCGCTTCATCGCCGACACGGAATGTGCAGATCAGCCAGACGTGAAGGGAGCGTTATATAACCAAACGTATATGGATGACATATGTGTTGGCGCAGAGTCCTTGGGAGCTGCTAAAGTACTACAGTCCAACCTGATCAAGACTCTTGCCAGATCCGGCCTACAATTGAGAAAATGGGCTAGTAATTCACCGGAGTTGCTGGACCATCTGCTTCCGGAAGATCGTTCTGGAAGTCCGTTGACGTTTGAACAGAATAATGCCACGCATGTGTTAGGCATGTTGTGGAATCATGATCTGGACTATTTTTCGTTTACCGTCAACAACTTCAAATTGGTTCTCACAAAACGAGGTGTGCTGTCTATGATCGCCAGGATTTTTGATCCGCTAGGTATGCTGTCACCAACGATATTTTATGCCAAAACCATCATGCAACGTCTGTGGCTCTCACAGGTTGGTTGGGACAGTCGGATTCCATCGGATATCGCGGATGATTGGTGCCACTTCTACCATTCACTAGGTTGGCTGGTGGACATCCAGATTCCACGCTACATCGGTTGCTACACTGGTTGCAGTTATATTCTCTGCGGTTTTTGTGACGCCTCCGAGAAAGGATATGCGGCTGTAGCGTATCTCCGCGTGACTGATCCGTCCGGAGCTACGGCCACATACCTCCTGGGCGCCAAAACCAAGCTAGCACCAATGAAGACCATGACAACACCACGTCTGGAGCTAAGTGGTGCATTGCTCCTTGCATCATGGTTGGCCAGGCTCAAGCGCATTTTGGAGTTCCAGTTGGGAATTTCTGATGTCTTCGCGTGGTCTGATTCGTCCATAGTTTTATCGTGGTTGAACATCCCGCATACATCGTTCAAGACGTTCGTGTCCAACCGGATATATCAGATCCAGTCCGCAGTACCCGGTTGCCACTGGCAACATGTGCGATCTGAGGATAATCCGGCTGACTGCGCGTCTCGAGGTCTCCTCCCTGACGAGCTTAGGCGATGCAAGCTCTATTGGCGGGGTCCGACCTTCTTGCAATCTCCAGTCGAAGCTTGGTCTCAGGAAATCCCACAATTAGAGTTGGAAGAGCTGCCGGAAGTAAAACCAGTGTGTTTATTGACTTGTGAAGATCCTCCAGTCGAATGGTTTATTCGGTTCTCCTCCTTTCACCAGATGATTCGCGTACTAGCTCAGGTACGTCGGTTCATCCGGTTGTGTCAAAGGAGAAAGGTCGAGCTAGGTTTTCTCAAACAAGCTGAATTGGATGAAGCTACGCTCGTGATCGTTAGGAGTGCTCAGAATTGTTATTTGAGCCAGCTAGTAGACGGCCTGCGTCGGGGGAGCCCGGTCCAGTCCAAGGCGCTAGCTCGTCTGTGCCCGTTCTTGGATTCAGATGGTATAATCCGCGTTGGCGGACGGATGCAAAACTCCAATTGGTCGGAGAGACGAAAGCATCCTATGTTAGTTCCGAAAGAGTCTCATTTAGCCGTTCTGATCACACGACATTGGCATCTCTACGCGTGTCACGCCCGACCGCGTTTGCTCATCGCTCTCGTACAACAACGATTTTGGGTCATTGGCATTCGCCTGATAGTTCATCGGGTGATTCGAAAATGCGTGTTATGTGCAAAAATGTCGGCTGATCATCCACAACCCATCATGGCTGCTCTGCCAGGGTTCCGGGTCCGGGAAGCCCACCCGTTTTCAATAGTCGGCATAGATTACGCAGGGCCCTTGCAAATGAAGGAGCTCAGTCTGCGGAAGGCGCGCATCGTTAAGGTTTACATCGCTGTTTTTGTTTGTATGACCACCAAAGCGGTGCATCTAGAACCAGTGTCTGCCCTCTCGACGGAAGCTTTCTTGTTAACCCTGGATAGATTCGTAGGTCGCCGTGGCTTACCGTCGGCCATCTATTCGGATTGTGGCACCAATTTCGTTGGTGCGGCGAGGCAGCTGCGTCAATTGGTCAATAGTCCGGACAGTAGAGATCAGTTCTCAGGTCATATTGCGTGTGAATGGCACTTCAACCCTCCTGGTGCTCCCCATTTTGGAGGAATTTGGGAAGCCGCCGTTAAGTCGGCGAAGTCATTGCTTGTTCGAGCAATGAATTCCCAAATTTGGACTCTAGAAGAGTTTTCAACGGTGTTGTGTAGGGTAGAGGCTGCTCTGAACTCGCGTCCCCTAATACCAGCATCATCTGACCCAAATGATCTGGAATGTTTAACGCCCGGTCATTTTTTAATTGGTCGCCCTTTGTTGTCAATCCCAGAGCCTGTTAGTACCAGCGCACAAGTGGGACTGCGGACTCGCTGGAAGCTCCTCCAGCAGTCCTTCCAATTCTTTTGGCGACGTTGGTCTCGGGAGTATTTGAACACCCTCCAAGCTCGTGGTAGGTGGACGAAGACTGATATCAATCTCGAAGTTGGTACTATGGTCATCGTCAAGGTTAATGATGCGCCTCCGCTATCGTGGCCATTAGGAAGAATCATTGAGGTGTATCCAGGAACCGACAAGGTGGTACGGGTAGCTAAGGTTATTACTAAACAGGGGGTGTTCACCAGACCAGTGGTTAAACTAGTACCTCTCCCCACAGATCCGTAGGTATTGAGACTCCCCTTAGTCCCTGTTTCCTGTATCCATTTGCACTTTATATTTGTATGTTATTGCTACGCTCATTATGTAAATAATTCGTTTTCTTATCAACCATCACCATGCATGCTGCTGGATGTTTCGTCGGCTGTTCTGCCTCGGGTACCAGGTGAGGTATGGTATTTTTTATTGTTTGTTTTTTGTTATATTTTCAGGTATTAATCTGTTATAATATTTGTGTATTTTGAAAAAAAAAAAATGTAACTAAAGTCTTTGTTTGTGATATCATTTAACTTGTGTTCCTATTGTTAAATATTGTAATGCTAGTCCAGCTATTGCTCTAGTCATTGGTAATGTTATTAAATTAATTTATTTCGTTGCAAAAAAAGACTGTTAATGATGTTGCCCCTTTGTAAAAAACCCGATCATCGCTCTGGTCTGTTCAACTGCTCCGTTCCACTGCTCATTCAACTGCTCCGTTCAACTGCTCATTCAACTGCTCCGTTCAACTGCTCCGTTCCACTGCTCATTCAACTGCTCCGTTCAACTGCTCTGTTCAACTGCTCCGTTCAACTGCTCCGTTCAACTGCTCATTCAACTGCTCCGTTCAACTGCTCCGTTCCACTGCTCATTCAACTGCTCCGTTCAACTGCTCATTCAACTGCTCCGTTCAACTGCTCCGTTCCACTGCTCATTCAACTGCTCCGTTCAACTGCTCTGTTCAACTGCTCCGTTCAACTGCTCCGTTCAACTGCTCATTCAACTGCTCCGTTCAACTGCTCCGTTCCACTGCTCATTCAACTGCTCCGTTCAACTGCTCTGTTCAACTGCTCTGTTCAACTGCTCCGTTCAACTGCTCTGCTCAACTGCACTGTTCAAGTGGTCACTTGCTCGGCCACCTACATCATGGTTGATCGAAGTCTGTTGCAAGTTCGCTGAACTTGCAAGGGGGAGTATGTTCGATCCGTTTGATAACAACATTGCCGCCGTCGGTGGTCACGCTCGACCGACCGCCGCAGTAACCATGTTCATGGGCGCTGCGCGCCGGCAGCCGCAATTTTGGCAACACTGGTAGGCTGTTACCGGCGCCCGGCGCAGGCGAGCTCGTTCGTACGCGCCACTCTCTCTCCGTTTTTCCGTTGCAACGTGTACCCGACCGCTCCGTCAACACGGTTGTTCTGCTCGCTCGCCCGTCAGCCATCTTTTCCCGTTTGGGATAGTTACGGAAAACGTGTTTATTGTTCAGTATTAAACATCGCGGTTGTTCGGCCGATTAACCGTATTGATCTTTTATTGACTGTCGTCGTCCAGTCTGCTCTCGTCAAGTTCGTGACAATCAGCTCCGAGTAGCTTTACCTACTATACCATTCTTCGCGTCCACGTGCGCGGTTGAACGTTCTTCGCTCCACGACACGACGGTGCACACGCTCGCACCCGTGATCCAGATACAGCAGCTCCGCACATACAGCAGCTCCGCACATACAGCAGCTCCGCACATACAGTTCACCAGCTCAAGACATCGGCCAGGAAGGCAGCTCAGTCGGTGATCCCCGTTTCCCCCCCCTGTAACTTGTGTACTGATAGATACAATTAATTTGTTGTGCATGTAAGACTTAATACATGCCAATTCTTGTATATTTAAACTCAAATTGTTGTTATTTAACATTTGCCCTGCCCCGCCTTTATCCCGAGGACCGTGTGTCAGACGACAACCGCTAGTCAGGATCGTCGGCGCAAACAGTTGCCATTGGTTACGGTCTACAGTAGAAATTAGCATTTATTTATTATTGGTTGCCATTGGTTATTCGGGCAGATCAGGTACAAGCTTGCATCAAATCGAATTATTGAACATTGCAGCCTACCAGGATGGCTGAGTTGCACTTACCGCAGCAAGTTACACCCAAAAGAATTTAAACAATCATAAATTTTTTAAGAGCTGCGATTTTTTACGGGCAACCAAATTTGTTATATTAATCCACCGTATTATATCAAAATAAACTTGGTATAACTTTGATACTTTAGAGTTAAATCATACACTTATACGTACAAACACAACTGGGTCTGTGATCTACCGAAGGTAGATTGCCTACCTGATATATACTCCTGCAAATTAGAATTTTTATTCCAGGCAACAGAATAGGTAAGATAAATTTTGAACACCATACACCGAATTTTAAATAACGAATTGAACAAAGTTTGAGTCATATAGAGTTGGTACATTTAACGGGCAACGAAGTGCACAGGATCAGCTAGTTATTTATGAAAATAGATGTTGTATAAATTTCAAAATAAACATATTAATAATTATTTTTAGACGATATTTCACATCTCGTTTTTCCCACCAACTTTTCAATTTTGGGAGGAATATTATTTGACGAAGCCACTTATAATACTGCATTTAGATGTGTGCCGGTTAATCTGGATCTAACGGGTGATTGGTTACTGTTCATTATTGAAAAAAGTTGATCGCATTTATAAGTACTACTAAACATAGAAATAATTTTACTAGCATATCTACGAGTTTCTACATATCGTATTGACAAAAGTGGTAAAAATCATTAACACTAACCTCTTTGAATTTATTTTTAGATTTTGAGTGGAACGATGAATGTATTGATTTTACAATGACGTGTGTTTTTTTTTATTGACTTTTGTGTCTATGTACACAATAAGTGGTACAAATAATGCTTCGATTTTCAACTTTAGTATCTTGTTCGATTGGTAAGTGAATATTGTTTGTGCATTCGGGAGGTCAAATTTTAGTTTTAAATTATAGTTTTCACAAGCACCAAGAATACCAAAAGAAAAATTAAGGAAAAGCGGTAATTTTTACGCAAAATCGATTTTTCACAAAATTGAATTTGGTTTTTGGTGTGACTTTAAACAAATGACCGTAGATTCATGAAATTATCACTGTTTGTTTATATTTGCATTTTATATACACGATAACATTTTCAAAATATTTTGATCTATTTTTAACTGTTTAGGAACATTTTCATTTTCCATTTTTTTTTCTAAAAATATCAATAAAATTTTATTTGTTAGTTAAAAATGCTTGAAAATTTAATAGAAAATTCCTAGTATATTGTTTCAAAGGCAGATGAAAAATATTAAAAATTCTTAGCCACAGTTTTTTTTTTTATAAGCATTTAAAGTTCAAAAATTAACAAAATATGGAAAAATCACGAAAATTAGCAAATTATTTTGAGTTAAGAATTCGTAAAAATTTTTCTTTTTAAATCTCAGATTTGAAAATGTAATACAAGATTCCTTATAAAATTATCTACCTTTATCAAAAAAAAATGTCCATAAGAAAGTCAAATGTATGAGCGTTTGAAATTATATTAGCATTAATAAATATATTAGCATTTCCTATACACTATACAATTTTAAAAATATTTTGACTATTTTTCAGCTTTCAATTTTTTTGAGTTTTTTTTTCTATAAATATCAATAAAGTTTTATCTGTTGATCCAAAAATTGTAAAAATTTAATACAAGGCTGATATATTGTTACAATAGCAGTTGAAAAATATTAAAAATACATAGGCACAGTTTTTTTTTATAAGCATTTAAAGATCAAATTTTGACAAAATTTATCAAATTTAAAATTGAATAATTATTTTGTAGTTAAAAATTTATGAAATGTTCAACTTTTATATCTAAGGATTAAAAATTTAAAACAAGATTCTACCTAAGTAGTTAATTCTGTTACCAAAAAGTCTAAAAAATACAGAACCACAGTTTATTTTTATATTCATTTTAAGTTAAAATTAATCTAACCATAAAAAACCTAAAATAACTATTTTGTTGTGATTGTTTAATATATTTTGTGGGTACTTGAAACTTGTAAAGTACACTATTATACTCGTATATCTATGATAGTATCAGGGTTTGTTGTTTATGTATAACGCGTTATGAGTACCTAATTTATATTGTGATATGATTAATTTGGAATTTATTATAGGTCAATTTTTTTTAATACCATAGATAAGTATATAATAATATGTCTTTTACCTAGACTGACATACTGTCTCCGCTCAGAATCGTTTTTCTTATACAATGATATTATATCATTGAATTCAAATTTAAGACCATCCATTATACAGTGACCCACTTGTAACCTACTGTACAGCAGAGCACCTTTTTAACTATTAAATTTACAGTGGAATACACGCTACAAAATTAGATTCTAAGGACATAAGATTATACGTAAATAAAATAAATTAGTCTCAAAAACTCAAAAAAGATTAACAGATTTATAAATAGTAAATTTTATTTATATAAGTATACACTTGAATTAAACATATTTTGTATTTAAAATTCTGAGAGGAGATAGTATAGTGTATTGGAATTGCAATGAAGTGTGTTTTAGTTTTGTAAAATTAAAATCTTCATTATTATATAGATTATAGGTAATACTCAAACAGTTAAATATTGAGGGTAGTTTCTGGTTTCAAATTTGATCTAGTTCTACTTTGGGGTTAAAAAGTATAAAATTCCCAATATTTAAAAGTTTATGCTAATTGAAAAAACTAACAAAAGGGGCGGGAAACAGGAATATTTACATAATGACAATACTATAATAATATTTTATTTATTTGTTTATTTATTGACAAAAACTATTTTCTTTTTTTTTAAGACGGGTCAAAATGTCACCAAATATATCGGTTTTATAGACATCGTATAATTTTTTTAATAGTTTGACTTTTTTGAGTTGCTTGTAGATATTTTATATTTTACATGTATATACATGTATTTACATGTATTTATGGCCAAACAGTTTGAAAATATAATACAACAATTAATAATTCCATATAAGTTTTTATTATAGTAATTAATAAAAAAAAATATATATATATTATAATATATAGGTGCATATTATTTTACATTATTTTTGTTATGATAACATTTAGTCTTATTACCATTGTTCTGTAAGTACTACGTTTGGGAATTGGGATCATCCTGTATAAATAAATAAATCATTGTATACGGATGAAAAACGATATTGAGTAAAGATGGTGTAAGTGGTTGGTAACCAAGGTTACCGAACAATTATTTTGATGATATTATTATAATGCTAACAACTGTTCGTAACTTTTTTTAATTTTTCCCGATTATTTTAAAAAGTACTGAGTTTCAAATTTTGACCTACCAAAGATACTAACTAGATCCAATTTATACTACCAGAAACCTCCCTCAAAGTTGATTATCAGAGCATTTCGAGGAAAATTCATTTCTCTACTAGTAATAATGTCTTCATACACAAAAATAATTCAGTTTCCTTAAACAAAGTGATCTTTACACTCCAAAATGCTTATAAAACCTAAATTAATCAGTTCATCATAAATATAATTCTATAGCTAGGTAATACATTTTCTGAAAAGACGAAATATTATACTAAAACTCTGGAATTACAATAAATCGAAAGGACATTATTCGTACATTTGCAGAAGACAGAAGTAACACATTAGGTGTAGCTTACCTAACGGTCCTAAATTTACCTTATTTTGAATGTATTACATTGATAAGGTAATATTATTAAAATTAAATATTTATTGTAAAACCAATCATTCTCATTTTTAATAAAAATGAATCGCGCTTGTTCAATATTCTAATTATCAGATGATATTTTATCTGCATTATAAATTATACTTTTAATAAAATGTTTAACATTATATGTAATTTAAAATATATTGATAGTGGGTATTTATAGTAGATAATTTTTATCTTAAATAATACTGTGGTATATATATGGAATTTTTCTTACGTAAAAGTTAATTCATTAAAATGGAATCACCTCTTTAGATTGTAATCCGAACACGTTTAGTACTTTGGACAACTATTGTTTCAAATTCCAAGTTGTTTCTGACACGGGTGATAGTCGTCACCACTTTTGGAAACCAAACTTAACCGAAAATCGTTTCTAATAAATGTGAC